GAGAGATAGTGATTGAGTGGAAGACGGGGGGGGGGAGGACGAGGAAGGGAAGGACGGGGGAAGGGAGGGACGGAGGAAGGGGGACGGAGGAAGGGGGGACGGAGGAAGGGGGGACGGAGGAGACTGAGGTATTTCTGAGGCCAACTAGAAAGGCAAATGGACAAATGAGCAAATGGACAATGCTGGAAGCTGTTTGTAAGAAAGGGAGACCCAAAGGTTTGTAATCTGGGAATCTAAATGAATAAGGTCAAGAAGATGGAAAAGACATTTAATATAAAGTTAAAGGAGAACTTATCACGATTTGAGAATGAGGTTGTCTTGAGTAAAGAGTAAAACCAAAATCAAGTAAAGATGAGCCCTTCTGACCCGTATGTGTGTATGACTTAACACACACTGGTTTTTAAGCCTGACCTGAGTTTAATTCCCATTACCCACAGGGTGGAAGGAGAGAATTGACATCCTCAAGTTGTCCTCTGCCCGCCATGTTCACACTGTAGCAAGGTGCACTCATGTGTGTGTGCATGTATGCGCGTGCACACACACATGTGCGCGCACACACACACCACCACCACCACACCATATGTAAATAAATGTATTTTTTAAAAACACAAGACCTTATTTTTTTCCTTGGCTAGTATAAAAACTAAGCAATGCAGCAGGCGTGGTGTCCCCTTTTTAATCCCAGCACTCAGGGGTGGAGGCAATGGATCTCTGTGAGTTTGAGGTCAGCCTGATCTACATGGTGAGTTCCAGTACAGTTAGGGTTATATAGTAAGACCTTATTTAAAATAACAACAACCAAACAAAGCTAACAACTAAACAATGATTCAAGTGGAAATTCTTTTCTTCTTTCTTTAAAGACAGGGTTTCTCTGTAGTTTGGTGTCTGTCTGTCCTGGAACTAGCTCTTGTAGACTAGGTTGGCCTCAAACTCACAGAGATCTACCTGCCTCTGCCTCCTGAGGGCAGAGATTAAAAGTGTGCACCACCACTGCCTGGCTGCAAGTGGGATTCTTTATAACATCTGAGTTTTCTCCAGGAAGGTTCACAGTTAAGAAATCTAAATGTCAAATAATTATATATGTTTGGATGTTTGGGATAGAGCCTACATAAACTCAGTCACTGGGCTGCATGCCCAGTCCCAGGTTATACTGTCTTAAACTGTTAATTTATAGCCAGTAACTTGCTATCTGCCATCGGACAAGCTGCTATGTATTAGTTATGCCTGAATGTTTCTGTCTGTAAATAGGGCTAAGGTAGAACTAGAGTGTAGTGAGGGCTGCCTGAGATAGTACACACAAACACTTAACCATCACATGCAGCAAGTATTTGTGGGATGAACAGAATGACAGACCAAGAAACATCAGATGTGGACTGTGCATCTGGGCACACGGGGGTTTTGGAACACTGGGTGAAGGGCAAAATCTCTGGGCGCCTTCTGTTCCCCGATGACCTGGACAATGTGGGTGTGAGTTGCCACCCAGAAGTTTGGAGTTAGCTTTTGTCAACTTGATAAGAGTCACCTGGGAAGGGGGGCTCAATTAAGGAATTGCCTCCATCAGGTTGGTTTGTGGACATGTCTGTGGGGACATTTTCTTGATAATGATTGAGGTGGGATGGCCCAACCAACTGTGGGCAATGCCATCTCTGTCAGGTGGTTATGGGTGTATAAAAAAGCAAGCAATAGAGATCAAGACAAACAGCACTCCATGGTCTGTCTTTCGGTTTCTGCTCCAGACTGATGCCTTGGCTTCCCTCAGTGATGAACTATAAAGTGTAGAAATAAATCCCCCTGCCAAGTTGCTGTTGGTCATGGTCTTTACCACGGCAACAGAAAAGCACACTAGGACACAGCTCTTGGCCCCTATTTCTGCATCGGAGTTTCTCCATCTCTCATCTCTTTCTGTAGTTTGCAGTACCTGCAGCTGTTGAGTCATTCTGAGGGCTGAGGTTCCTGTAGCAGCACACAGGAATTCAACTCTTGAGCAGCAAGAATGCTAAGTAGGGAGGCAGAGGCAGGCAGACCTCTGTGAGTTCCAGGCCAGCCTGGGCTACAAGAGCGAGCTCCACGACAGTTAGAGCTGTCACACAGAGAAACCCTGTCTCCAAACAAACAAGCAAGCAAACAAAAAAGAATAATTTATAAGGTGTGGTGGCACACACCTTTAATCCTAACACTTGGGAAGCAGAGGCGGACGCATCTCTGAGAGTTCCAGGTCACCCTGGTCTACAAATGTTCCAGGATAGCCAAGGCCGTGACATAGAGAAACTCTCTCTCTAAAAACAAAAATAAACCAAAACAAAAGTCAAGTAGTTGGCCGCATGATCGTCCCATCTGCCTCACAGCCCTTGCCCTCCATTTCTAGAGTTGCGTTCCTATTAATCTGATAATGGAGCTGCACCTACAAGAGTCGTGTCCTCTGATGGCCCTTCAATGGTTGGCTCTATATTTGAAAGGCCACAGCTGCTGCCATGTGGATTAGAAGCAGTGGCAGCTGATCAACACACAACACAGGTCTTGGCGATGTAATTTATTTTGTCTTCTCACGGTGAGTTCATTTCTGAACAGCTGTCCAGTTGGAGAACAGAGTTTTCATTCACCCTTTTCAGACTGCCATCTGCAAGGATTACTTAATCTTGAGGTCTTTCTAAATCCAGAAATTCAAGAGCTCTTTCATGTGGCCCAGTGCGCGAGGAGCTGATAGTAGAACTAGAGCTTTTAAGAGAGGTCGACAGAGGTTAGGATTTGGTGCTCTAAAATGTCTTGGACTGGGAGTTTGGTGGTGGAGCAGCTCAAAATGTTTCTATAGGGCCCGGCCATGGCAAGCTCGGTAGAGGCCTGAGTTTCAGATTACCCTAAGGTAGAATACCTAGTTCCAGGAAAGACCACAAATTGAAACCACCCAGGAATGGACCATGAGAGCAGAAAGTACCTAACATTCCAAAGGAAATTCCTAGGGTTTCAGTCATTGTAGATAGGATCCCCTGATGTCCCTCAGTTCAGCACACACCCATCCTCTTTCACGAAGACACCCCTAGACAAATGTCAGCCAATCTGGGGTCCTGAATCTGAGAAATCCCTCACCCCAACCTCTGCTGTGATAAAACTCCACCCCAAACTGAGCTTGCGGTTCTCTGATCATGCCAACGCGTTGGACACTCAGAGTCAGAGTTCAAACTTGAATAAAGGCTCTTTGATTTTACACACGGGACTCAGTCTCCTTGTTGGTTTTTGGGGGACTCAGCAATCTTGACCTAACATTTTCACTGTTTCTGGCTGTACAGTCCTCTCGGATCTGGCACTGTCACTAGTATTTGGGACGCTGGAGTCTTTGTTCCTGAGTAGAATTTGCTGGTGGTACTCTTATTTTTGGAGGGGGTCCCTCAATTGTCTATATATCAGGTGCATTCCAGTTCATACTGGACTGTATTGGCCTCTGCTCTCTTGGCCGCAGAGAGAGAAAAGGAAACGCGCCTTTCTCTCCTGTAATGACTACTGGTTACTATCTACACTAACCATTAATTTGATTCACTGTGCATATGCTGGGCTTTGAGTCATTTTTCTTCCCCTGGACCTGCTGGAGTATTCTAGGGCACGGGTAGGGGTGAGGATGCTAGATAGCTCCCAGTCCCTCAGCAGAACGCGCCATTGGACTTGGAGAGGCACAGACACATCCAATATTCACAACTTTTTGCTAGATTTCTTTGAGGCCGGATCTTGCTGTGTAATCCATGTTGGCTTCCAACTAGTTGTTCTCTTGCCTAAGAGTCCCAGTTGGTGGAATGAAAGGCCTGCCTGCCTCATTTTACCCCTCTTCGGTTCCAAAGCTGCACTTCCAAATTTCGTCGCAGAGCGGCACCAGTCAGTCAGCCAGTTGGTGTCTACAATTCTGACAGGTGAGATGCCCCTAGGAGAGCAACCCGCGGTCTCCAGGGTAACCACGTTTGCTTCCGACTGGAGACACCATCTCCCCCCTTGCTGGGGCCTCCCCCCCCCCCGTGGGGGGGGGGGTGGGGGGGGGGGGTGGTCGGTAGCTTTTGGAGACTTTCCTGTAACTAACTTTTGTAAACCAGGCTGGCCTCAAACTCACAGAGATCCGTCTGCCTCTGTTTCCTGAGTTCTGTTTTTAAAGGTGTGTACCACCACCGCCTGGCTCTTCTTTCTTTTTATAATTTCTTTTCTTTTTAAAAAAAAGAAAGAAAACGAACTGTGTTTCTCCACTTTGCATACCAATTTTAGTTCCCACTCCCTTCCCCTTCCCATTCCCTCCATCTTCACCTCCATCCCACACTCATCAACTCCTCAGAGAGAGTAAGGCACATTGCTTTGGGGAAGGTCCAAGGCCCTCCCTGCTATATCTGGACTGAGCACGGTATCCATCCAAAGAGAATGGGTTCCCAAAAAGCCAGAACAAGCAGTAGGGATAAATCCTGGTGCCGCTGCCAGTGGCCCAGCAGTCTGTCTCAGCATACAACTGTCACCCATATTCAGATGTTCTAGTTTAGATCTATGCTGGTTCCTTCCCTGTCCAGCTGGAGTTGGTGAGCTCCCATTAGCTCAGACAAACTGCTTCAGTGGGTGTCCCCATCATGGTCTTGACGTCTTTGTTCAAAGTCTCACTCCTCCCACTCTTCAACTGGACTTTTGAGCTCAGCCCAGTTGGAACCTCTTTTTCATCACGTGATCGCACAGGCTTGTGCAAGACAGGTCTTGACTGTCTTCCTCTTGCAACACAGTATTGTACGAAGTCCAGCTTTCCTTGACCTCATTCTGAAAGGTCTCCAGAGGAAGGTGACACTGGGCGGAATCTCCGGGCCCGGAAGGACTGGAGCTCAAAGCCCCTTAGGGATCTGCCGAAAAGCTTGGCGGCAGAGGCAAGACCAGCAACCTGGGCTGGCCAAGCTGGAGTTGGAAGTGGAATTCCGCGGGTTCGGGGCCGCGGCTGCCTCTCAGCGGCTTCTCCAGGCCGAGGCCCCTGCGCAGAATGGACAGAAGGCGCCGACCTCCCGGAGGAGTGGCCAGACCAGGAACGTGCTGCGCTGGTTCTCCACCGCGGTCCTGTATGCCGCCTTCCTGGGGCTGGTGAGAGCTGACGCTGCACCCCTCCCAGGCTGGGGCACGAACCTCCTGCAGGCGACCTGCCCTTCCCAGCTGGACTCTCACCTTCGCTCCCTGCACGTTCTGTGACTTTGGGCACTTCCGGCCCATTAGCTATCTCGTGGGCGCTAATTTAATCACTGAGGGTTTCTGTCCAGTTCGAAACTGATTGTGCTCTTTTCTAACTGCAGCGAACTTTCCTGGCGTTGCGTGGGTCTGCAGCCACTGCGCTCTGAATTGTAACTTACTACACAATAAACTGACGTTTCTAGCGCTTCCAAACTGGGTGGCCATCCCCTTGGTTTTGCAAATAGGAAACAGGTCCGATAGGAAAGCGGCTTTTCTTGGCCACACAGATGTTTTAGTAGTGTCTCACTCTGTCCACGATTCTTTGGAAATCAACTCTGCAATACTTTAAACGTTTTCTTAGAGCAAAACGCCGCATTGGAAATGGTTTAGCCAGTACCTGGGTGAACTGTGGGAAATTCCCTGTTTCTTGGTAATTGTGATCTGGGGGCGCTATGGGGTTGGGTCCCAAAAGAGAGAGCTATTTTTTTTTCTGTCTTTAGTAATCTCTCAAAACTGACTGAAACCTTAAACCCTGAAAAGCTTTTCTGTCTCTACTGTAATTGATTGATCTAAACCGAATCTCCATTCATTGCACGGTTCTGCTTTCTTTGTTCTTGTTTACCGCTGAAACCACAAAGCATGGCTGAGGAGGAACGTTTATGCCCCCACTGGGGGTGGGGGCGGGGCAGAGTCTTGCTATACATCCCAGGCTGGTTTCAAATTCTGCATTCTCCGCCTTAGCTTCCTGGACACTAGAATAATGGGGGTACACCACCATTCCTGTCCCTGTTGTATCTCTTGAGTGGGTATGACACACGGGGAGATTACACAATGCTATCAAGAAAATAATACCACAAAACTCAGTTCAGTCCTTATGGCTGTCTCTGTGAACCAAACTGAACACAGTCAAATAGAGTTCAAAGCCTTTTATTCCCTGCTATTGGTCAGAATTCTTGTTTGGGTTGTCATGGTAACTAAGGACAGGCTGTGAAAGTCACTGACTTTCTTCTTGCAGTTAGCTTCCTGGTAACACATCGTGGGAACCTAGAGACACACTTAACTATCGTGACCAAAAAGTCTGGGACAGCCACACTTGCCCCCCCACCATTCTGGATGTCAGCAAACCAACTTAGCTGCTCCCACAAACATTATGCTTTCCTTCCTCTGAGAAGTTTCCTTAAGGCATTTATTCAGCAAAAGCACTAACAGCTCTTTTATTGATATATTTAGTACTATCATCATCATCAATATCATCATCATCATCATTATCATCATCATCATTATTATTAGTGCTGTAAACTGAACCCAGGGGTTTGTCCATTTAACACGCATGCTCTTGCCCCTGAACCACACCCAGCTCCTCAGCCATCCTTTTTATTGCTTTTTTTTTTCCCCTACAGGGTCTCACTATACAGCCCTGGCTGATATGGAACTTGCTATGTAGACCAGGCTTGCCTCAAACTCATAAAGATCCGCCCACCTCGCCTTCTGAGTGCTGGGACTGCAGGTGTGTGCCACTGTCAGCTTCCCTGCTCCTGTAGAGCAGTAAAAATCCAGGCAGAGTTAGCTACAGCATTCTGTTACTCAGCAACATACACGAGCCCACAACACGGGCAAGAAGTTCTACAAGCAAATTTTGTTCCACTAGTTGATGGACATGAATATTCTCACCTGCCTTTCTGAGTGCTTCCCACCCTTCCAAAGAGCAGATCTGATCTACTGCAGCACACATTTCCCCAAACTGAAATCTTAGCTTCAAGTAAGGCAACAGCACCACCTGCTGCCCAGGAGAATCCAGTCCAGGAACTTTTCTTCAACGGGAGCTCAGTTGTTTAGCCTGTGACTGGAACTAATCTTAGATAGTGGCTGCTTTGGTATGGTTGTGGGAGGGCTAAAAACCTTATGAAAAGGTGCTCAGAAGGCAAGAGAGGGCCAGATAAAATAGCAAGTTTTGAATGAAAGAAAAGCTGGATTGAATGGAGAAATTCCACATAGACTAATCTTGGTCTCTAGGGCCTGGAAAACATGGCTATCAAGGGGCATTTTAGAATAATTCAGTTTAATTCGTTCACTCCGAAGTTTATGTAGCTCATGAACACAGTCCAGGGGAAAGCATATTTTGTGACCTATTAGCATGAAGTAAAGGTGAATAAAATCAGATAGTGGAAAAATGTATGGATTTAGTGGTCCCATAGATGATCCGTGACCCTGTGTTCTCAAGGTCAACCTCTCGCAGAGGTCACTCAGAATAGTGCCCTGTATTTGCTGGTGACTATGTTAGTAACTGGAAAGTCAGGGCCGTATTCCCAGCAAGTGTAGGAGGCACAGAGCAGTGATGTCCTGCATAACAAGGAGAGCTTTCCTCTCCCTCTGGGGATTCACCGTGATGGCGCAGAAACACGGAACAATGTTGGCCATTAATGGTAGTGTTTCCTGATTTGGAGGCATTATTAGCCTTAAATTCAGCAGCTGGAACTTTCTGTTTTTGCTGAACAGCATTATCCTTACTATAGCCTCCATGATGCTGAGTATCTTCCTGTAGGGAAAGGGGTGGGCTCAAGATAGTAGGTGATGGGGAAAGAAAACCAGGTTTTGCAGAAAAAGATCAATCTTAGGCTGTTGCTACCTAGGATATCCTCTGCTTCTCAGGAGAAACATTCCTAATCAGAGTTGCTAGAAGATCCCCAGCAGGTGCATAGTTTCAAGAGTCTTGAGAGTTGTGGTCTGAGGGCACTGAAGCTTTGGTGTATAAACACTGGTGTGGGCTCTTCCAACAGAGTCAGAGGGAGCCACTGATGGTGTTGTTTCTAAAGACTGTTGTTCAGGATCCAGGTCATAGAGGTTCACTGACCTCTGTTCCCTGGTGGGTATACTTTGGCCTTAACTACTGAGTCCTGTCACACTTTTTGTGAGAGGAGTGGGAGATACCTGGGTGCTATCACAAAGGGTGCAGTCTTGCAGGGGCTATGTCACAAGGACTAATAAGTCTATGGGAGTGGATCCAATTGTCACCAATTAGTAATGCCATTGACAGGCCATCTGGTCAACCCAGGCTTGATGCTACTATGTTTGGCGCACTTGTGTAGTGAAACTGGTATGGCTGTTGCTGGAGATCTCTTCAGAATGCCTCACGAGGGAAGCACCTTTTTGATAACTGTAGCTATGTATAGTGCTAGCTGTTCTGTACAGGAAAGCTTCCTGTACCTAGGAAGATACCTAGGAGATAAACACTGAAAGCGGTCAGTGAGTGCATCTACCCAAATGTGTTCAAATCATCCAGGAGTTGATTCAGTATTACTTGAGGTTGTTTTTTGATTTTCGAGACAGGATTTCTCTGCAGTTTTTGGAACCTGTCCTGGAACTAGCTCTTATAGACCAGGTTGGCCTTGAACTCACAAAGATCTGCCTGCCTCTGCCTCCCAAGTGCTGGGATTAAAGGCATGCACCACCATTGCTTGGCTAGGAAAAGCAGTATAATTTTTAAAAGGTCATAAAAATATCAAAAGTTTAACACATTGTTCAAGAAGAATTGAAGATATAGTTAATGAAAAAATAATTTTTTCTTTAACCAACGTGATATTAGTGCTTCAAATTGAATTTCAAAAATCTCATAAATGTGGAATAACCTTAGTTCTTTTAGTATTGAAGGTTTAGTTTCCTTAAGTGATTTTGAAAACATCACAAATACAGCATGAAAACAGGAAATCATGTTGTCCACTTCCTATGACTCTGTTTGTTGGGCCAACCACCTCACATGCAACAACACCAAAGCAGATCCTTCACACTTCTCATTGAGCACCAACCAACACACCAGGAAATGAGTAGACCAAGTCCTAGCTTTACAGTGAGCCTTAGCAGTAATGTTCAGTTTCTAGAAAAACTTCCGAACAATTCTCATCTACTCTCAGCCAGCTTGTTCACAGAAAGTTATTTTCTGAGTCCTTCTTCTATGTACTTCCTGCAGTATTCTTACCCGTTCTACTTTGGCATTATTGTTCTTAGTTTAGAGCAGTTGTCCTGCTTTAAGACAGAAGAGCATCCATTTTTCCTTTGATAATATGTCTGCATACTTTACACTGTTCCTACCTTGGTGACTTTTCTATTGCCATGACCAAGGCAACTTACGAAAGAGTTTATGTGGGGCTCACATTTTCGGAGGACTGGTCTCTGACCATCATGGAAAGGAGCATGGCAACAAGCAGGCAAGCATGGTGCTGGAGCAGTAGTTAGGAATTTACATGTTGAGACAACAACCGCAAAGCATAGAGAGAAAGGAGGGGGGACCAGAATTGGTGACTTCAGTTTTTAAAACCCCTAAGCCCACTCCTAGTGGCAGACCTCCTCCAAAAAGGCCACACCTTTTGATTCTTCCCAAACATTTCTAAGAGTTGGAGACAGAGTATTGTAAAGCATGAGTCTATGGGGGCCATTCACATTCAACCCACTACATTCCACTCCCTGACCCCCATAGACTCGTGGCCATAGAATAATATAAAATGCATTTAATGCAACTTCAAAGGTCTCTATGGTCTTTCGCACTCTCAACACAGTTTGAAAGTTCAGTCTCTTCTGAGACTCAAGACAAACTCTTAACTGTAAAATCAAAAAGCACATCACATACTTCCAACATACAATGATACCGACTGTACATTACCATTCCAAAACAAGACCAAAAACCAACAGGGCAAATCCAAATCCTGTAGCTCAATGTTCAGTGTCAACACCCCCCCACCTCTCGAGCTGGTACCACTCCCTCTCTGCAGATCTCCTTGGACGATATCCCATAGCTCTGGCATCTCCAAAACCCTGTGTTCTCCAATATAATCCAGGCTTCACTTTCACAACCTCATGCAGTGGGCTTTCTGGACCTCCGTGAAGGAAATCCCTTACCCCATGCCCGGCTTCAGCAGCTTTACTTAAAGCTTTACTTTATGGTGAAGGAGGTTTCCACAGCCCCTTTACTCCTGTATCCTTTTTGACTCTAAAGCCAGAATCATGTAGCCAAAGTTGCTAAGTTCTACTGCCTGTTTGATGGAACCTGGCCCCATCTTTGAGTTGCATTCTGAGTAAGCTTTCTCTTTTATAAATTGGAAGTTAAAACTGGGCCAGTCTTGTCCCAAGAGCACCACTTCCTCTCTTCCATTTCACATCAGACCTCTTCTTACCTCTTTCAGCAAAAGCCCTGGCCCAACATTAAGTTTCCTGGAGTTCTTTTTCTCTCCAAATTGTGTTTAATATTTCTTTTCTCCTTCTTGCTCTTTTTAATCGTAGATCTGTGTTTTAAAAAAATCATTGCTAATAATAAAGCAACTGAGTCGATAGTAGAGCTGTCTTACAATCTCCTCTGCCAACAAATTTAGCCCATAACTTTTAAATTTAGCCTCAGGTAGCTTCTTAGGACAAGGGCAAAAAGCAGCCATATCCTTAGCAAAATATGAAAATGGCCATTAGCCATTGCTGATATTGTTCCCTCCGAATCCTCTTGAGTACTGCCTCTATAGTGCACATTGCTCTCTGCATTACTATCTTCCAAGGCTCGCTCACAGCATCAAATGCTATCCTAGTCCAAAGTCCAAACATCTTCCACAGTCTAAAACAAACAAACAAACAAACAAACAAACAAAAAACCCAAAAAACAAAACAAAACAAAAAATCAGCATGGTCAGGCCTGTCACTGCTATAGTCCACTTCAGGGTACCACTTTTTCCTTAATTACTTTTCTAATGCTGTGATAGAACACCATGACCAGAGCAACTTATAAAAGAAAAAAAATTAATTTAGGGCTTGCAGTTCTAGAGGGTTAGGCCATCATGGTGAAGCATGGTAGCAGGTAGGCCGCCATGACGCCGTAGCAGTAGCTGAGAAGTTACACTGAGACAGCAACGACAGGCAGTCATGAGAGATAGCTAACTGGAGTTCTGTGGGCCTCTTAAACCTCAAGACCCACCCCAGTGACACACCTCCTAATCCTTCCCAAAGACTTCCACCAACTGGGAACCAAGCAGCCAAACCTGTGAGCCTTTGGGAGCCATTCTCATCCAAACCAATGTACTTACAAAAGTCCCATCCCCTTGTGTAATTGCATAGGGCTTCCTGTTTGTAGTAATCTTACATTCATGTACTAGAATTTGTATTGGCCTTAGTTTCCATCAATGATAGTAAATGTGCCATTGCCAATTTTATGCCAGTCAGGTGTAGACTGCTAAGTCTATTGATCATAACTCTTAAAAGAAGCATGTTTCCTTAGGATAACCTAAGAGCCAATGTAGTACAGAAATGTTCACTAATAGTCCCAACTATCTTCAGTTTCTGCAATAAAAAACTATGGAGGAGGAAATATTTTATCACTAGTCCTTTGGTTCCCCCATCCCCACCTTTTTTATTTGTGCAAATTTCCCTCATTCCTAATGGCACATTTCTTTTTTAAAAAAAAAATTTAAATGTATCAGTGTTTTGCCTGCATGTGTGTCTGTAGACCACATGCAAGCATGGTGCCCATGGAGGCCAGACTATGACATCAGATCTTTTAGAAATGGAGTTACAAACAGTTGTGAGCTGTCATGTGTGTGCTAGAACTCGAACTCAGCTCCTTTGAGAGAACAGTCAGCAGTTTTAATCACTATGTGATGTCCCCAGTCCCCAAACTGTACCTTCTTGATGACCAGAATGGTAAAATATTTTGACACAGAAGGCAAATCTTTTACAGAGATTTTATCTTCTGTCTGTTTAACTGATCTCCAACGATTGGGCGAGAGATGCTTAGAAACATGAGGATCAAGTCAGGTGTTATAAGCTGTTTTTCTTGATTAAAAAAAGTACAACAGATAAGATTAATTTGTACGACCTACAGAAAAAAATGTATTTAATGGTGACAATTCTTTATAAATTGGCCTGTTCTATTAACCAGATTACCCAAGTCATATAACACCAAAAAGAATGTGGTTAAGGTCTTTATTTATTATTTTTGACAGACTTTATTTATGAAATACTATTTTTTAAATTTATTTATTTTGTATGTTGTATATTAGTGTTTTGTCTGCACATATGTGTATATTGCATGCATGCCTAGTGTTTGTGAAGTCAGAAGAAGGTATATATACATATATATATATATGAGCTTCTATAACAAGTTATAGATGGTTGTTACCCAACATGTGGGTGTTACAAACCAAACCCAAATCCTTTGCAAGAGCACCAAGGGCTCTTAACTGCTGAGCCATCTCTCCAGACCCGGATGCTAACTTCTTAAATAAAACAGCTTTTAATTTAATTTAGCAATAAGTCATGTAAAATTAAATTAGACATACAAATACAGACAGATATACTTCAGCATATAAACAACAGATATTAAACTGGGCACATGCCAGGTAAAATATAAAAGGTTCACAAATATATTAGAGCAAAGGCAGATCCAGGGTCTCTGCTAGTTCAGTGGTGGACTGGCATGTTTAAGGTCTTATGCTCAGCCCCCAGTACTGGAAAGCCCAAACACTAGGAACTCTTTGCTCTAAATTGTCTGACCAATAGAACAGAATTTCCTATCTAGAGGCTACAACCTTGTGAAACATACATATTTTTTCCCTGTGACCTGTGCAAGGCCTCTTACAAAGTTCTTTGATTCATCTGATCTTTTAGATGTCTCTGTGTACCAATTAAATAATGAATTCCATTAAAACAAATATTTTAAATCCCAGCTCTCAGGAGGCAGAGTCAGGTGAATCTTGAGTTCAAGGCCAGCTTGGTCTATAGAGTGGGTTCCAAGACATCTAGGGCTACACAAGGTAACCCTGTTTTGAAAAACAATAGATAGATAGATAGATAGATAGATAGATAGATAGATAGATAGATAGATAGATAGATAATAAAATTTCATTGATCTTGAGGAACCTACTTTTCAAATGTCCCTCACACTTGAACAGTTAGGTAAAACACCCCATTTTGTCTACTACCTGTCTAGGGTGCTCTTGTTAAGATTAGCTCAGTGTCCACGAAGCACAAGGTTCTGGGCCTCTAACATTTGTTAATGGGATGAGTAGATGTCTCAGAAAGCAGACTCCAAGACTCTTTCCTCCTTGTGTTCTTTTAAAGGGATTTTCCTGAGGCCCCTGGTTGACACAATCCAGTGGAATAGAGTATCAGAGCAGAAGTCATCCTGGACTCAGTCCAGTCTAAAATACTCGAATGCAATCAAGAGCTCAATACACCCATCTATATCATCCCAATCAGAGGGGAAACCTGCTCATGACCCTGGCTATTGCATGAGATCTTGGGACTTAGGAGACTCTGGCCAGCTTGTTTGTTTGCCTAGTTGGTGCTGTCATGATCAGTGGAGGCCTAGTCCCAATCACGCATCTGATGCCAAGATGTCTAATTTAGCAAGAGTGTATTTAAGCAAAGACATGATTTATGGGTCCAGCAGTTCCTGGAGCCAAGGGAAATAGACAACCCTACCCAACAGTGTGGGAAAGGAAGATTTATAGACAGTAAAGGAAGGGATGTATGGAAGCAGCTGATTGGTTCAACTTAGACTCAGTCTTATTTGGGCATGCCTACACATTAATGCGGCTCATGAGCTTGGCCATTTGTTATGAGAGATAGGCTACCACACTTACAGTGTGTTAACATATTAGGTTGGGTTAGAATTTGTTACATACCAAGGTAGCCATAGGCAAGAGTAACTCTGAAAGCCATGCTATACCTGTGTGTGTAACATTTTGTAAGGAAGACTGATATTCTGAGCTTCTGATGAATGAAGATTTCTTTGAAGAAAAGTATACATTTGAGCAAGCTCGGATGACTTATTTCCTATGGGTTGCATATGTGTAGAATCCCATATGCACCAGAAATCTTGCAGTTCTAATAATGGAAGAACCGAGACCAGAACTGGAAGATGGCTCAGAGGTTAGCATTCCTTGCTCTTCCAGAGGACTGGGGTTTCAGTCTCAGCACCTAAGCCAGGGGACTCCCAGTTGTCTATAACTCTCCTTCCAGGAGATCCAAAGCCCTCTTCAGGCCTCCTGGGAACCTTCACACACGATGCACATCTACACACACATACATGCACATGTGCACACACAAATTAAAAATAAAAATTTAAAATGAAAACAATTTGATAATTTAAATTTTGACATATAAATCCTCATGTTAATGACTGTCACATACCTTAGAATATAGATAACTATTTCAAATATATTTGAACATATATTTAAAATGTATGACAAATGCATATTTTATGTTTTTGTTTAATATTTTATTACTTTATAACAAGGCCCCATGTAGCCAAGGTTAGGTTTGAACTTACTATGTACCTGAGGTTGACCTTGAACTCCTGATGCTTCTCTCTCCACTCCAGGAATGCTGGGATTACAGGTGTGCACCACCACATCCAGTTTTATTCAGTGCTGGGAAGGGAGCCCAGACTTTGCACGTGCTAGGCAGGCGCTCTACAATGGAGCTGCATCTCCATCCATATTGTTATTATGATTATCATGCTTATATTGCCATGCTAGGCATTCAACATAGGCTTGAACAGGTCAGCAACAATTCTGCCACTGAGTTATATCTTGAGCTTCTTTTTTGCTTGTTTTGTTTTTCAAGACATGGTTTCTCTATGTAGCCCTGGCCTTGAGTCACAGGTCCGTCTACCTTTGCCTCCCACACGCTGGGATTAAAGGTGTGCACCACCACTAACTAGCTGCTTATTAAATTATTTAGGAGGGGGAAAAGGCACAGGAATGAAATCATTTTGGGCTGGAGAGATGGCTCATCAGTTATAAACACTGGCTATTCTTTCAGAGGACCTATGTTTGGTTCTCATCACCCACACGGGAGCTCACCACCACCCACAACTCGGGTTCCACGGGATCTGATGCTCTCCTCTGGTCTCCTTGGGCACCGCACACCACCGTGCACATGCACACAAAACATCCACAAACGTAAAATAAAAGTAACTAAATCTTTAACATTTGAAAAAATAATTAAATAATTTTGAAGGGAAAATAGTTCTGAAATGAAGACAATCAACCAGAGTCTACAGCTCTGGTACTATTAGTATCATAACTGTATTTTTTTTTGTAAAATTCGTTCATACTGTGAATGGCCCTTAAAATAAGTTCTTGCTTTGTAACCCCCTCCTCACTTTTTTCTTAGACAAAAATGAAATACATATTATCTTGCTAGCAAGTAAATCTTTCATCTTTTTTAATTTCAGGGAATGACTGTTGCCATATTAGGGCCCACATTTCCAGACCTAGCACAAAATGTGAACCGGAACATCAGTAGCCTTTCGGAAATATTTGTGGGCCGTGCCCTCGGCTACTTGTGTGGCTCTGTGGCTGGCGGGGTGCTTTTTGACTGCATGAATCATTTTTTACTGTTAGGTAAGTAAACATCACCTTTTATTTGCAACTTGACTCTATATATGAAAAGTGCAACCTTACTTCAGACTTGACAACAGAAGTGGGTAGTGGGGGTATCCTCCGTGGCAACTTGGCATCCTTGGTTCCTGTGTCTACCTTAGCTGGTGGAGGGACTCCGCACTGAGCCCTCTGGGAACTCATTAGCCCTCAGGTCTGTGTGTCAGCAATCCTGAGACTCCACCCTCAGGTCACACACTGGTTGACCACACAGCTCTGCATATCTGGAGGCGCCCAGGACCACAGAGGCCAGAATGAGCTCTCCACCCGTGGCCAGGCTCTGTGTGGTGAGCTGGTTATAGGCTGCATTTTTGTCTTGAGTTTCTCCATGTCAGTGGTGATAGCTGACCGCTTTTCCACATTCTGGAACTGATGGTGAACCTCTTCACGTACTCACCCCTGAATAAACTGGTTTTGTTAATAGAATATTCAGAGTCTCATTAATACTTGTGGAAGAAAGGAAAATAGTTAATTAATTGCTGCAAATGCCAGAGCAGGGAGTGTAATGATCAAGTAAGACAAGGAGATCTAGCTCAGCACAGTTTAGGCAGCAGGAAGTCCAGTTTAACATGACTTAGCTGGTGTTCGTTCAAACTCCCAGAGTCTGACACCAGGTAATTTCCTGGTAACAATGGCCTCAGTCCATGTGTCCATGTGCACAATAAAACTTAAGGTGTGACTACATCAAAGCTCTTTTGCAAAGCACAGGTGACCCTCTCCATAAAGATAGGGGTTCTGTAGCTTAAGGGCCTAGGGGAAGGTCAGATGTGCTCTTAGTCATAGAATTCGTGACACCTCCCTAAAGATAGGTTCTTTTGGCTGAAAAACAGTGCTCGAGATAATGGTCTAGGAAGGTCCTGTCTAGGAAAACCAAAATTGTCTGGGGAAATTTGGGTGTGGCCCAGTCTTACAGGTAGCACAGCTCACCAGGCTGCTAAGAGTGTCAACTCCCAGCCTTCTGGGTGGAAAACAGGTATACGTCCCTCGTGTTGAAGAGACAAGCCTGTGTGCTTAACATTCCTGGATCCCCTAGTGTGTATCTGTGAGCACAAAGATCTCATGCCCTCTACAGCTGTTGACGAATAAGTGAACAATACCTCCTATTTCCTATGTAAGCTTAAAGAACCTAAGTGTACATGCAGTTTGGGGTGAGAGAATCAAGCTCAAGGCCTGTGCCTTCTAATCACATGCTCTACCACTGAGCTATACACCCACCCCAATCACGTATCTTCTACTTCCCTTACTATCTGCTACACTCATTTATTTCAAATATCTTTACCATTTTATTCTAACTGGGAGGAGGTATAGGCATGTAGAAGTCAAAGGTCAATGTCAGGTCAATCACTTGTTGTGGAGTTTGTGACCCCTGGGCAAAGACCACAGACTCAGTCTAATTATAATTAAAATATTTATTTGAGATTGTCTTGAAGGAGGGGTATGGAGAAGGACTTTTAAAGGAGAGAACCACATGAAGACCTTCCATATCTACGCAAACCAGCAAAAACTCTTCTGTTCTGCCAAGTGAATCAGTTAAGGCAACTGAAAACAATCTTTGGGTGTCTGCATAAGCAAGCTACAAAAGGAAAAAAGGCAGTTAGCCGTATAATAACAAGTACAGGGGCACCGCTGTACATTTTCAGGTGAGGGCCATTGAGTCAGAGTTACTGGGAACTTGTCTTCCAGGGACTGGAGCAGAGACAGACGCCTGGTGGGTACCAAGATGGATGCTTAGCATGAAATGGAGCTTCTGTAGCCATGACATCCCACAGTGACTCTAGAACATATGAATCAAATCACTGATTCACATTTCTGTAAGGGTAACGGTTGATATTTTAATTAAGCCATTCAATCAAATCCCAGCCCCCAACTTGAGTAACCCTTTCTGTCACTCTCTGATTTTAACAGGTATTTGTAATGCTGAAGGAGACAGGAGGCCAGCATGAGCTTTGGTGTGCTAATAGGCACCATGGATAGTCCTGCGTCCCTTTTGACAGAGATAGAGAAATGGCTGCCTGGGTAGAGGAGAACGGGTTTCATTTGGATCTAACGTTCAGGTCTTTTGTTAATGGTCGGGGGTAATGTAATCTCTTCTGTAACTGCTTTCCAGAAGACATAGGATGCTGTTGTCAGGCTCAGGAAGGCTGGAATGCTGGTCATAGACCCAGAGAGGGCAGGGTACATCTTGTTTGCTGTCCATGTTGTGTGGGCCCCCCTGAGGCCAGTGAAGCTCCCATTGTTTTGGAGCAGTCTAGAATGCTGGTCTGAAGCTAGGGCTCAAGGTAGTAAGAAATTTTGTTGGAAGCATCTGGTTTACTTCAGCTTTCAGCAAGGTGAAGACAATCTGTAGGAACTGGTTCTCTTCTTCTGCCATGTAGGTCCTAGGTGGAAAATTTCTGCACCCTGATAAGCCTCTCTGCTGACGTAATAATCCGAATCAGACCAAATCAAACCAAATTAGAAAAAGCCCAGGTTTAATGGATACAAACTCTCCCAGATAGCTTTCCAGCTCCCCAGAGAGATGATGGGAAAGGAAGACCTGAAAACCACGTGTTTGTTCTCTGGGGGGCAGTTTAAATACCCTGTAGGAGTGGTCTTGAGCATCTCTGGGGAGGGCTCATCTTTGGCAAGTTTTCTCAGAGGTGGAGTTTGGACTGAGGCAACTCCCAGGGGAGGGGACTTGGGTGGAACTTCTACCCAAATATTCCAGACTCTTTGCATATATGGATGCCAGGGCCTGGAGTGTGGCTTCCACCCAAACGTTCCAGACTCTTTGAGTATCTGGATGCCAAAATCTGAGGTGAAGCTTCCACCCAAACATCCAAGACAAAGTACCTTTACCAACTGAGCTGTCTCTCAGCCCCTTCACTATATATTTTGAGGAAGGCTCCCTCACTAAAGCTGCATTCTACCCACATGGCTAGTCTGGATGGTTAGCAAGTCCCAGGGATGCTCCTGCTGCCGCCTCCTCAGCCCTGGGATCACAAGTGTGCATGACTTTCTGACATTTCCTGTCAGCAGGCGCTTCACTGCATTTATTTCAAAGTTTTACTACAAACTTCTATAATTGCACTTTCTTTTGCCTTTTTGCTACCTCAAATACCTTTCAGTTTATAAATGTTGAACCTCTAAATTTTTTCAGCCTTATCTTATTTTGTTAGAAAGATCATTGTGTTATGTTTATAATTTGTTAGTAGTATTCAATGGTATTCATGTGATAGTTTATATATATACATATATCATATATGACCACACCCAGTAATTATTTTAATTACTTTTAATCATTTAATCCGTAAAAATAATATAATATTTATAAGATATAACCTGCATATAGAAATTCTCAAATTATCCAGTTTTCATATGACCTTACTTTCATTTTTGTTTTTAGGACATTGGCTTGACTCTGCATGAATACTGTCTCTATAACTGCCGTTCTCACCCTTCTTTTAGGGATGTCGATGTTGGCTACCACAATTGGTCTTTATCTTATTCCTTTCTGCAAGACAGCAGCATTACTGATTGCCATGATGTCTGTGTTTGGTGTTTCATTTGGCGCTCTGGATACAGGTTAGTGACGGGGGAAAGTGGATAAAATCACACTGTCACCTGCAAGGCTTGTGAAATGGCGTGGCCGCCTGATGTGGTTGTAGGGTCAATCACTGAAGCAGGCCCTTCTAGCAGCTGTGCTTCTTACCAGCCAGGGAGCCAGTTTTGAACAGTTAGTGATAAATGAACTAGAAGACGTTTCCCTGTGAGGGAGTGTTGGTTTTCAGTATCCAAATGAGAAAGGATCCCTAACTTACAGATAATTGCAATGTTGGTTAAAGGGCTTTCATTTAGAGATAGAATTTGATCATATTAAAATAAGAAGAATTAATGGCTTATTAGAATAAACTAAGGTTGGAACTGACATTGGGCTGTAAAGCTAAAAAAACACCCACTTTTGAGTTCAGAGAAGCCTACGCTGTGCACAACTTTCTCAGTTTATGTCAGAGGTCGCTGGGTCCTCACGTTTTTGAAAACCTTTTAAACAGTGTGTATGAAGTTTGTTTGCTCCCAATTCCAGCTTTCTATCCATCCCCTCTTTTCGTTTAGTTGAAAAATCACTGGGTGGAATTACGTGTTTGTCTGATTTTTAGAAAGAGTCACAGACGTGATGACTTTTCACCTTGAAGCTGCCCTGACAGGGTGAGCTCAGTTTCTAGAAGACATTCTTGTCTCCTGTAACAGGAGCATCCGGGTACTAACTGGCTGCTTAGCTCAAACATAAATAATCTTTGGGGACAGCCAGCTCCAAGTACATAAAACTAAAAATGTGCAATGTGTTTATTAAAGTTTGAAATACACTTATTAAATATATTATAGACTCTGTAATGTAGTTGCTGTGTATATTTATCACATACATAGTAACAAGTAAGTGTGTAAACATTACACCCCCACTGTGGTATTTACACTATTTTGTAAAACAAAAACAAAACAAAACAAAAAAACCTTTGCAGTTGTGTCTGGCTCTAGAAGGTGGCGACCACCAGCCTTTCGGTCATGTCTATGAGACATTACAATGCATAGTTCTTGACGGTGCATTAGAGATCTTTAACCACATTATCAACTCACAGCTGACATTTGTAACTTAGAACATCTATTATGTTCACACTGTGCAATGTATATTCATCCATTTTCTAATGGTGCTGAATATAATTGATCTTTCTTTGGGCTGCCAGTTTCCAAATAATAACACAGAGACTTTTTATTAATTATGAATGTTTGGTCTTAGCTTACACTTGTTCCCAACTTTAACTTAAATTAATCATTTTATATTAATCTATATTCTGAAACATGGCTCATTACCTCTCCTCCACAGTGTATGTCCAATTTGCTCCACAACTTACTGGCTAAACCATCCTCTCTTCTTCACAGAGTTATTCTCTCTCCCCAGAAGTCCCGCCTAGTCTCTCCTGCCTAGCTATTGGCCAGTCAGCTCTTTATTAAACCAATCAGAAGGCGCCTTTGGCAGAATCACATCTTCACAGTGTACAAAAAGATTATCCCACAAGAAATTAAACATTTTTTGTTTTTATAAGGTTCTTGAGATTTTTATTTGTATTATTTCTAACTATGCAGAAGTATTTGTGTCTGTATGCGGGTAAGTACACATGAGTGCAGGTGTCCAAGGAGGTGAGAGGTTGCTGCTCCCTGGGAACTGGAGTTTTAGCGGCTTGTAAGCCACCAGACTTGGGTGCTAGAAACCCAGTTCTGGTTCTCTGCAAAAGCAGTAAGTACTCTTGACTGCTGAACAGTCTGTCCATCCCTGGTCTTTTGTAATTTTACTAAGTTACCATGTGTAGCAGATGATTTTGTCCATGTTTCATTGGCAGGTGCAAATGTCCTCATCTTGGCTCTTTGGGGAGACAAAGGAGCCCCACACATGCAGGCCTTGCACTTCAGTTTCGCCTTGGGTGCCTTCCTGGCTCCCCTGCTGGCTAAATTGGCCTGGGGTACAACAGCATCCACTCAGAACCACACAGAATCAGACTTAGACCCTCTAATGCTGAACCGATCCTCTGAAGACAGCCCACACTCTCTGTTTGCGGTACCCGAGGACATGAATCTGCTGTGGACATACGCTTCCATTGGCACCTATGTCTTAGTAGTTTCTGTCTTTCTGTTTGGTCTGTTTTGTAAGAAACGCTCAAGGCAGAAAAAATCTGCAGCATCTGGTCAAAGAGTTCGAAGAGCAAAGTATCACAGGGCCCTGCTCTGCCTCCTCTTCATCTTCTTCTTCTTTTATGTTGGAGCCGAGGTGACCTATGGCTCTTACGTATTCTCCTTCGCCACCACCCATGTTGGTATGAAAGAAAGTGAAGCAGCCGGCTTGAACTCCATCTTCTGGGGGACCTTTGCAGCCTGCAGGGGCCTGGCCATCTTCTTTGCAACATTCTTACAGCCTGGAACCATGATTGTGTTGAGCAATGTTGGCAGCCTTGTTTCATCTTTGTTTCTGGTACTTTTTGACAAGAGCCCTCTCTGCCTCTGGATCTCTACTTCTGTGTATGGAGCCTCATTGGCAACCACATTTCCCAGTGGAGTTTCCTGGATTGAGCAGTACACCACCTTAACTGGGAAGTCTGCAGCATTCTTTGTAATTGGTGGTACCCTGGGAGAAATGGCGATTCCTGCAGTAATCGGAATTCTTCAGGGACTCTACCCAGGGCTGCCAGTGGTTCTGTACGTCTGTTTTGCATCAGCCATATTCACTGGAGTTCTTTTTCCTGTGATGTATAAATTAGCCGCCTTACCTCTGTAATGTGAATAAAAAGAAAACATCTCAGGGGTTCAGAATACTTTGTAAGTCTGACCATAAAGAAAAGGACAAATGGGAAGATGGAAGGGGCAAAATGAATGAATGAATTTTGAAGCTGTTGAACCATGCAATGAGGCACTCTGTAGTTGTCTGGAAACATTTGATGGCCCCCACAGTTGGTGTCCTCACCAATTCCTCTCAACTACATTGATTTGGATAAAGAGTTTGGTAATCTTCTGTGGAATGCTGTGTTCATTTCTTGTGACTGTGACCAATATTTGACAAGAAACCAAGGAAGGGATTTTGGGGCTCACAGTCTGAGAGTGCACTCTACCATGGAAGGGCAGGCATGATTGCAAGAGGTTCCCTTCATGTATCAGGAGTATGGAGCTGGGAACCTTATTCTTTCACATTTTGGCAAAACAGGAAGTAAAGAGGGATCAAAAATGTGTTCAGGTATAAAATCTCAAACCCTGCCCCTAGTGATGGACTTCCTTCAGAGGAGCCCCACTTCCTCCAGAGGAGCCCCACTTCCTCCAGAGGAGCCCCACTTCTTCCAGAGGAGACCCGTTTCCTCCAGAGGAGCCCCAGTCCCTAAAGGTTCCACAACCCTCTAAAACAGCATCCCCAGCAGGGCACCAAGTACTGGAACAAGCCTGGGAGGGGCATTTCACATTCAAGCTACAGGAAGCATCTGTCAAAAAGTGGGACAAGAGTTATTATTGACTTCCCTATTTCTTGGGGAACGGGGATAGTGCAGGGTCAGATTCAGAACCTTTCATGGGCTAGGCGAGCATTCTACCTCTGAGCAGATCCTCAGCCCACGGTTTCCTTGAATCGGCAGTTTAAATAGACCAATCAGAGGAGATCAGCAGCAGTGTTTCAGTGGGCTCTGGAGATTCCATTTTCGAGGTCAATGGGTAAGGAATGCTAAGATATTTTGAAATGTTCTGTAATTTCTAGACTATTAGACAAAGACCTCATGGTCTTGTACTGCCAATCTCTTGCTGCGAGGCAGGAGCCATCAGGCGATACTTTATGGTCTCTTATTTTCAGAGTGTACAAAGAATTCATGCATGTTTGAAAAGTTGGGTAGTGTTCAAGTAGATCAACACCACTAAAAAAGAGAATGGATCTGCTGAGCAAATAAATCACCAGGCCATCCACACTAACCAGGGACGTTGTGGAGAAAAGCTTTATGAAAGAGTGTATTTGGATGTAGACAGATGTTTTCATTGTTTGACTTTACTAGTCAGCTGGATTAAGGGATGCTAGTGACTCATTTGTCTATGCCTATAGAGGCATTATGAAATGAGTTTGAAGAGAGCTGTCTGCAAGACTTGACTGCCTTCTGGGCCTACTCTGAGGCACTTACTGAGGCCTCAATTGTCTCATCCCCTGAGTTGTGAATCTAGAAATAAAAAGGAGATGCTTTTCCAGCTGAGTTTGTCCAGGGTGTCTGTTGCAGCAGCCGATGGTCCATTTCAAAAGAAAAGTGAGACGGAATGACAGAAAGGCTCTGAGAGGCTTCTGGTTATGAATATATTCCAATTTGATGTGCTTGCTTTGCCTGTTGACTTCCTGACAAGTGTGTTTACCGCTGTGTTTCACTGAGCTGAAGATGCCTCTTTCCCTCACACTTCCTGCATATCTGAAATAGCGTATGTCTTACAGTCAATGATCATTTAATACCATGACAAATTATAACTGACAGCAGGTTTCTGTATACAGATTAAAGATAATATGATTTACAATCAGTGTTTTATATTAGTGAAAAAAATAGTAACCACTCCAGTTGTGGATGTTACATTAATTTTAAAAACAATTTTAAGAAAAAAGCTATTTATTTATTTATTATTTCGAGATGGGTCTTACCATGTCATTTTAGCCTTGTCTCAAACTCTGGGACCCAAGCAATCCTCCTTCCATAGTCTTCTGAGTTCCTGGCAGCTGCAGGAAGGTGCTGCAACATTGCCTGTCCTTTAATGTGAACTTTTGTCTGTATTCAGGTAGGATTTGTAGACAGTGTTCCAGTACCTTGACAGGAGAACGAATACATGTCTAACTGTGCTCCAATGGCGTTAGTAACATTTTGTTTTACTCCCTTGCTGGAGGGTAAATTCGCACACAGTCATATTCAGAGATCTGGAGACACCTCGTTCTCCTGCCTTCAATACGAAGGCTGTAGAAAGATCTTTTTGAGTCATTAACTACCTCAGTAAGACATAATAGGTCTGGGTCTTGCTGCTTCTAGATTTGATTTTTCACTGGTTTTGAATAATAATTACATTATGAAAACTGTAAACATTTGACAACTTTCATTGACAACTAGGCGATCTGTCTAAGGGTTAGAATGTTTGTGTAACCCACTGTATAATGTTCTGCCTGCATGGGGTTTAAAGTACCTAGGGAACCGAAGTAACAATGAGAAGGAGGAACGATGACCATGGGTCAGAGGAGAAAGGCTGCTTCATATTAAATATGACAAAACATATGCATGCTATCCTTGATAAATGGACAAAACTGAGTGGGTTTGTTTACTTCTTCCCAAGTTTTATGATGAATGGCATTTGATTCCAATCTGATGGTGGGGGTTATATTCTCATATCGCCGTAAGTCGCTTCTGAATAAATCTTTGATTTAAGTGAAACATGGCACCTTTCTTCACAGCAGCCCACTCACCATGTGCCCACAGTTTGGCCCATGGACTCCCCTAGCATGAGGCTCAGGAGAGGATGGAGCGACAGAAGGCTGTTTCTCTTTCTGTAGTGCACTCTTCTCTTAGGACTGAAAGTACCTCTGCTCAGTTTACTGTTTCTCCTAAAGCCCTGGGGCCTTAGGTCATAGTATTAACCCCTTAACTAGACATTCCGCCTTTAACATCTACTTCCTTAAAATCGTTATCTGGTTGGTTGGTTGTTTTTTGGTTTGTTCGAGGCAAGGTTTCTCTGTAGCTTTGGAGCCTGTCCTGGCATTAGCTCTTGTAGACCAGGCTGGCCTCGAACTCACAGAGATCCCCTTGCCTCCGCCTCCTGAGTGCTGGGATTAAAGGCGTGTGCTATCACCGCCCAGTCTGTTTGTTTTAGGCAGGCTCTTGTTGTATAGCTCAGACTGGCCCGGCACTCACTATACAGCTCAGGCTGGCCCGGCACTCACTATACAGCTCAGGCTGGCCCGGCACTCACTATACAGCTCAGGCTGGCCCCAAACCCAAGGCAGGCCTCCTGCTTCAGTCTCCTGAGTGCTGGCATGTCAGGCAGGAGTCATCACAGCCAGATAGCATGCAGAGAACAGCAGCAGCCAGAGGAGATGGGGATTATGTAAGACTTGTATTTAGAAGAAGGAGATAGAAAACTATCGGAAGGAGCGAGAGTGATGATCATGTATCTCCAGTACAGCGAAGCCAGAGACAGGAATGCCCTTTGTACAGTGCAGGCTTGTGGGAAACTTTCCAGGGTGTTTTTTTATTTCTTAGAATTAAATACCACTGTACTTGTTTGTTTAATCCAGGAACACAAAGTGCTTTTCTCTGGACTGTGATATGAGAAGTGCTTAGAGATACTGAAGGGGGCAAAGGGCCATCTGCTTCTGCTCTTCTAGAACCCATAAACCTCAGGAGGAGAAAGGACCTAGGAAAAACATGACAGCGGTGTCCTCTTGTCCCCCAGCATGAGCGATACGCCTTTGGTTCCATGAATTCTAATCCGACCTATGTAACAATCACCTCGCAGTGTTCCATAATTACCAATGCCGGGCCCTTGAAACGGAAATGCCCACTTCTTTGCAGTGGAACCTGAGCCTTTAAGTTCCTTTGTAGTGTCATCTCAGGCAAAGGTGATTACCGAGGCCTTTGGGAATGCAGAAACAGGAAACTCTTCTGTGCAGAGCTAATGCAGGGCTGGGGAAGCTGTGCCCTTTGTGGGTGACTTCACTGTGCATCCTCTCTGAAGGACGAGCAGGGATGGAGAGGTGTCCCGTTTGCTGTCACCATCGCTGCTGCTCGGTCAAGCAGAGAGGAAGGTGGATTCTGTGGCTGGAAGTTCTGACAAACAGGAGCAATTCCAGACTCTCTGCAGCTCACCCCCTTCTGCTCCGGCACTCTAAAACATTGTGATTTTATTCCACCTAGTCAATTGTGGTTTTATTTCCTCTTTAAATGAAAAAAAAAAGAAAGGAGGAAGATTCCTAATGTATGGAGAATATTTTTAGTGTAGATATTAGGAAGAAAGCAGGCAGAGGGGAGAGTCCTGGCTGAACATTGCCAGCTGACTTAGCCGAACCATGAGAGAAGAGGAGAACCAAGGGAGGCTGCTGGGCAAGGGACTGCTGTGGAGGGATCAGGCTGGGGGAGGAGAAGGGAAGCCCCGACCCTGGGAAGGAGAGGGTTAGGGTACTGGAAGGCTGAGAAGTGCTGGGGGAGTCACAGGTACTGAATAAAGCTAGTCCTGGGTTTGAGACCTAACACTCTTTTTTTTGGGGGGGGGATGGGGGGAGGGAGGAAGGACGGATACGAGATCAGGGAAGAATATATCTCAACTAAGGGAGTCATTTTAGGGTTTACAGGAGATTTAATTATAAATGGGATCCCAGGTCCAAGGAGAGATCCCCAGACTGTTCTCTAGACAGAGGAGAAGGTGCCTGAACCGGCCTTGGCCTATAACCATACTGATGAAGATTTTGCTTATCACCATAGATCCTTCATCTGACAATGGATGGCGATACAGATGGAGATCCACATTGGAGCACCGGACTGAGCCCCCCATGGTCCAAATGAGGGGCAGAAAAAGGAAGAACATGAAGAGACCTAACACTCTTAAAGATTAGGAGTGGTCTTGTGAATTTCTTACATTTACATATGACTGCATTCACTGTTTATAGATTTTGAAGAGGAATATTGTGACGTGATATAAACACATTTATAATTATAAATTCATAACAAATACTTGCTCTGAACTTAGACTCTGGTCATTAGTTGTGTTTTTGATTTTTAAAAATGGGCTTGACATCTCTCCTTTAGAAATTAGTCAAGAATGTCTTCATGTTTTACACGTTGAGGGGTTCACACTTACATTGAGTCCCTACAATGTGAGTAGCATTCCACTTCACACATGAACAATCCTTGGGGTTTTTTTTTTTCACCTTCTCTTGAGGTTTCTGACAGGTTCTAAACTTGCTAGTTCACCAGTGAAAATGTTACTTGCTACGTGACTTACTACGTATATTGTTGATAGATTTCCCAATGGAGATGATTATAGCTACTCCTCTGTCTCAGAGGAGAAAGGAGATTTTCTGAATGGGCACCCAGAAGCCTGCTGTCGGAATCCATGACCCTGTTTTGTACTTAGACAAGAAGAGTAAAACTGTTCAGTGTTTCCCAACTCAGCATGATTCATGTGTATTCTTATCTACCAACTTCGTACATTTATGAGTCTCTGGGAAAGATCTTTTTAAAGTGGGAACGTTCAAGTTGAAAGAAGTTATGTCTTATCTAAACAATGGTAATAAGTGATAGTCCCCGAGCCCTTGACTCCTACCATTCCTGCTTCAAGTGACCCCAGTTTACGACTGTGTGCTCTGATCAGGACAGAACTTCCATACTAGGGACTCTGAGCAGGCTTTGACCTTTTTGTCTCCTCTTAGGAAACCTTGGCAATAAGGAACAAGAAGCAGCATTTCAATGTCCTAAGTATAAGAGTGTTAAATAAAGGCCCCCAGTACTTTCTACAAGGAAAGGCTTGGTTATATCTGACACTTTCTCTGTGGAATGCTCCCTGGGACTAGAAAGATGGGCTATCAGGCTGGTTCTCAAGACACACCTGAGGTCTCGCTGGTGTTTCATGTGCTTCCTCTGAGGCTGATGGTGTGTGTGTAGAGGGGGCTATTTTCTGATTCTTTACTAAAAGTCATTCTTTAAGAAAACAATTAAGATGTCATCTGTAAGCTATCAGCCCAAGTTTTCCTTTAGTCTCTCTCTGTGACTGAGCCAACAGGTTGCTATACTGTATATATCGAGTTATAGTTATCACGGTTGACCAGGAACTGTGTAGTTTTGTATATGAAGAGGGACCATAAAACACAGAGGCGGTGGAGCCAGCTTAGTTATGATGGTAACTTTTTACACACACCGACAACACTGAGTTTAATCATCTCCCCGAACCCTGAAGCCTTGTAAGGCAGATGCTGGATGCTGTTTTCATAGAGGAAGATACGGTTATAGGCTGTTTCCTCCTGAGTGCTAAGGCTGGTGGAAAAGAAGCCAGAATTCAGTCTGAGATTTGCATGACCCCAAAATCTGTGATCTGTTCACTAAACTACATGTTTTTCTTCACATTTGTTCTATATAAACTGTTTAATTATCTGTTTAATTCGTGTATTATTCACCTGTATAGTCTGGCTTCAGCTCACACCCGACTAGACACCTGCTCTGTTCCAGGGACAACTCTGGTTTCCTGGCTGTGTTTAATCCTTTAATTAATGCAATAATTTATCTATCAAAACTTTGGCTTTTTTTTTTGAGACAAGGTTTCTCTATGTAATGCTGGCTGTCCTGCAACTTGCTTTGTAGACCAGGCTGACCTCAAACTCACAGAGATCTGCCTGTCTCAGTCTCCTGAATGCTGGAATTAAAGGCATGAGCTACCACATCCAGCTTTTTGAGTGACTTTCTTATGCTAGGAACTATATATAGCCTTTCTTTTCTGCAGCTAGTCCCAAATAACAGTACAGAGACTTCTTACTAATTATGAAAACTGGCTTTTAGCTTACACTTGTCTTAACTAGCTCTTATAACTTAAATGAATCCATTTATATTAATTACGTTCTGTCACGTAGCATTACCTCTCTTTCATCCTGCACCTCCTGTTTCTTCTCCAGCTAGCTGGAAGTTCTGCCTTTCTTCTTCCCAGAGTGCTCTCTTGTCTCTGGAAGTCCTGCCTAACCTCTTCCTAGCTATTGGTTGTTCAGCTTTTATCACAGCAATACATCTTCACACCTTGTGTACAAATATCCCACAACAAGGAATTCTAGTCATTCAGGGGTACATTGGATGCCAAATCAGATGTAACGTCTGACGTCATGATTTCAGAGTGGGTCCAGGTGACATGCTCAGGCTTCTTAGCCGTCTAGCATGAATAACTTTTAAAGAACTATTTTCACTGTCCTGTTTCTACAGTTTTTAACCCTTTACTGGCTGTACAACCGATTGCTTCTGCTCGACACATCTGAATACTGTCTTGGGGTTTCTTGTGTGTTTGTTTTATTGCCTCAGCAGGCCTTTGAGTGTGTGGTACTGCTGCTTCAGCTTCCTGAGCACTGTGGTTACAGGTGTGATCCACCACACCTGGCTCGCACACCAATTACTTCCTTATAGCTATGACTGGATGTTGTTGGGTCCTAGAATCCCCAGTCAAAGACTATTGCAATCAGGTCTGGCGGCATATGCCTAGGATCCCAGTCTTGTTGAGCTAAAAAGGAAGGTTGAGAAATTGAGGTCAGCCAGAGCTACAAAGCTAAGATCTTACTGCAAACAGGGGGAAAGGAACCGATTAGCTCTTTATAAAAAATTGTCTTCAATTCAGCCTTTTCACGATGAAGAGTTCTGGTTTTAGGAATATCTATAGAAGTAATATTGACAGAACTTGAGATATTAAGGAGAAAGAAGAAGAAGTATGAAGGTGTGATCTTGGAGTCTGCCCGGAGATGACCAGATTCTCACTGTTGTGCAAGCTGACTGCGAACTGATTTCAAGTGGTCTGTCTCTCTGCTGGACTCTCTCAAGCAGCAGGGCCACCAGACAGCACTCATGCCTCCAATTTTTAAAATCCTGTTAGTTGTTATGACTTTGCTGCTTCAGAGGCCACCTGCACACCCCGAAATTCTCAGAGCTATGGTTTCAGAGATCGACTGTGGCCTTTGCGACTCTGTGCTTGAAAGGCGGACAAGAAGGAAAGTCATAGAGAGGAAGTTGAAAGCTGACTCAGGAGACGTCTCCGGAGTAATTTGGAAAGACCTGGTGACCACACATAGATGAAGCTGTTTTGGCAGGATGATGAACTAGGGTTTGTGGTCTAGGAGCCTCAGAGTATTCCGAAAGAGGAGCGAGAGTGCACGCAAGGACGGAATGGGGGTGTTGGACAAAGACCAAACTAAGCGACCTTGTATTCTGTGAAGAAACAAAAGCCTTAGTAAGCACAACTTTAGTCGGCCATCTAAAACATCATGCTATGTCTGAAATAAGTGCTGAATTGGACGAGACACATATCCGAAAGCACAGCTTTGGACCTAGGTTTGTTTCTGGAGTTGCTATTCCACTATTGGCGACTGACTGAGCGGCAGCGTTGTGAGGATTGGTTAACAAAAGGTGATGCGCGAGCTTCCTCGAATGTCTGTGGAGTGGGAAAGATGGACACTGAGGCAGAGAAATGTCTGGCGTCAGGGGCTGGGCTCCCCTCCTTCCCTTCCGTAGGTGACCTGCGGGGCGGGCCTCACCTTGTGGGTGTGGCAGTGCTTCTCCTTGGGGCTTAGTGGTGTCTTCTGTCGGTAGACTGCGTTTGCACCGGCGACCCGGGAACCCAGCACAGGCGCGCGGACATCGAAGGGACTGATAACCCGGGAGGTGGCGTGGGGAGCCGCGGGGCAGGCTGCGCCCAGATCTTACTCTCCTGGATTGGAGGCGTCCAGAGCCTTTTGGAACCGCCAAGCTGGAGCTAGAGACGGACCTGGAGTTCCGCTGGGCCCCGGCCCCCGGGCAGCTCCTCCTGCAGGAATCCGGGGCCCCAGCAACGCGCAAGGAGCTGGAGGCGGCGGCGGCTGGGCGCAGCGGCGAGAAGCGGTGCGGGCTGCTCTGGTTCACTACGCTGGTCCTGTATGCCGCCTTCGTGGGACTGGTGAGAGCCCAGGCTGTCCCTTCCCAGGCTGGGCCAGGAGGTTCCCACTAGGAACGATCACTCCCTGGCTGCAGACCTGCTTCCCTAGCCTGCACAGTGGGAGATCGGGTGCATTCATCTTTCTGGGTCTCCGTTTCCCTATCTTGGAAATGATCACAGTTCTAATCTTGGAGGGTTTTTTGTCAGCTCTAATGGATTGCCTTAATGTAAACTTTTATGGTCATGGGTACGATGGGAAGAGATACAGAAAAGGGGACCCAGACCTTCACCTGCTCACCTCAGCACCATCCATGCAAACTCCCGGGTGGGCTGAGTAAGTTCAGCTACCTGGCAGTTTTGCAGACGGAAAATGACTTTTCGTTATCATTCAGGTGGCTAGGTGGTACGAGTAAGCGCCTGCGAATGCCTGTAGTCGTCTCTAAGATTTTAGCATTTTAGAAACGGTGCCACTAAGTAGCCCAGGCTGAGGCTAAACTCAGTGGTGGTGTTTCTGCCTCAGGGATTACAGATCAGTTTCTTTGATGTGGGAGGAACTGCGAAGGGAAATTCTATAGGTGCCTAGAGAGCCTTCGCTGTGTGCTGAAGTCTCAAAGTCCTTTGAAGGAATTTGATAAGAACCTGTACTCGGTATTCTTTCCTTGAACTTGGTGCTTGCTGCTGGCCTGTCCACGCTTGTAGTTTTTAAAAGGGGGCACACTAGTTTGAAGCAGAGCAGGGCCATTACCATCAATCACTCTTGGAATATAGATAGATGACTTAGAAACGTTTTTCTTAAAAGGACCGGTGACTCCTCTTCAACCCTTGGTTCTTGTTAACACATTGTAAGGCAACATTTTACTGATAAAACCGTTTTGTATGTGTGCGTGTAATAGTTCCTTAAAAGTCTGTATTCCTTCCTGGTGGCTTTGGAATTTCATTAAAGAAGACTATAGATTTAGAAACATTCAGATAGTCGATTTCCAGCATATTGTATTTGTGTAGGTCAGAGAAACCTATGTATGTCAGAAGGAGTGCATTTTTAACATAACCAACATGAGCAATAAACTGATGTTTGGGAATTTAAATTTTGACAGCTAAATTCCTATATCAATAATAAATGGAGTATATTTAAAATAAAATATTTTGAGAATATATTTGATATCTCTTAGTAACTATTAATACATAAAAATCTTGTAAGGTGATATTCAAAATCTAAAAAGAATTGCAACCAAAGCCAGACAACATTTAAACACTGAGTAGAAGACGACTCACAGGAGTGTATACCTCTAATGTGAAGGGTTGCCCGTTTTGTCTTGTTTGAATAAAGGGAACCTCTATATTACATTGCAATTCCCGCCTCCCATTCTTTATTATGGAAATACCACCATTTAAATAAACACCAATTTAGTGGTTGTAAGTTTAAAGCTCTTCTCATTTTAAATTTTAGGGAATAAGCATTGCTATCCTTGGGCCAACATTTCCAGATTTGGCGAGAAATGTGAACCAAAACATCAGCAGTCTGTCTCTCATTTTTGTGGGCCGTGCCTCTGGATTTGTATGCGGTACCATGATTGGTGGAGCTCTCATTGACTATATGAATCATTTTTTACTTTTGGGTAAGTAAACACTCCTTTTTTTGCTTCTTCCCCCCTCCCCCCAGTGAATTTTAAACTTGACTTTAAGCATTAAAAGCATAGACTGAAGAATGGTTGACAATAGAAATGGGTGTGGGTATCCTCCCTGCCTGCTGGGCTTCCGTACAGAATCCATACCAAACATTCTAACACTTGATTAGCTCTTTCTCAGGAGTGTTGGGAACCCTGAGCAGTGCTGGCCTTTACTGCAGGCTCTGCTCCAGGCTGACACGCTGGCTGACCATGGAAGCTCTGCTTATCTGACTGTACTGCAGGGCTTTTGGGGTCATGGGTCAGAATAACTCCTGGAACCTGGCCAGGCTCTGTGGACTTGGGGTTGAAGATGAAGGAACAGGGAAATGGTGTAGCCTGCACTTCAGTCCTATTGCCCTTGTCAGAGCTAAGTACACGTGGATGCTCTCGGATCCTGACCCTGGAAGAGAGGGCAGAGTTGTTAGCATGCCTTTTTCAATAAATTGGCATAATTAAAAAATTTTAGGTTACTATGATAAAACTCCTTTGGAGGCAAGGTGAATAATTTATTGCTGACAAATAAGTAATTATCATTACTCCCAAAGTTGGCTAAAAGACTGTTTTTTTTTTCTGTTACTTCATTTCCTTTTATCCCCCAAATGAACTTATTTGGTAAAATTTCCCTGTAATCTATTATGATTTTTATTCTTGCATTGTTACTTCATATAAAAATTCTCTTTGAAGTAATACTTTGGGGGTTAACACAGACACTAAAACAATTTTTTTTTATAATTTCTAATTTGATCATTAGCAATGATAGAATTGTATCCAAGTCGTAGTAATTAATACTTTTGTAGTCCACAAATATTATACAAGATTTAGATAAAACCACCATGGATTGCAACTGTATCTCTCATCTACTCACAATTGAAATTTTACTGTGGTGGTGGTGATGGCTTTACCTTTTTGGCTTGATTGTCTTTGAGACAAGATCTCACCGTGTTACCCTGGCTGGCCTGAAACTATCTTTGCAGAATGTGCTGGTCTCAAACACAGAGATTTACCTACCTCAGTCTCCCAGGCGTTGTGATGAAAGTTAGTGTGTAACACCATGCCCAGCCCAAGACCAACCAGTTTTAATTCAGTGTTATTTTTCAGTTTTAGAATTTGTTATGATGTTCCTTTGACCTAGGACCCTGATGAATACTTGTTTTATAGCTGGCTTTATTGTCTTCTGTTTTCAGGTGTGTCGATGTTGGCTACTACAGTTGGATTTTATTTCATTCCTTTCTGCAAGAAGGCAGTCTTACTGGTTGTCATGATGTCTGTCTTTGGTGCTTCGGTTGGTGTTGTGGATACAGGTTAGTGAACTCTTTGGAGTCATCTTCCGATTTGGGGATAGTACAATGAGGAAGAGTAGATCATATGCAATTGTGGCATTGTTTGTCTTGCTCTTAAGATGGCATGGACTCGCACAATCAGATTACTCTTCCAGCACCCCTTCTTCCTGCCAATCAGGGCTGGGCATGGTGGTAAACACTAACTTAAATCACAATCAACCATTGTTATACACTAACTATGACATGAACTATGGCATGAACTTTGACGTGAATTTTGCTTTATGAGAGATTGCTGGGTTGTCCAAACATGGAAGGACTCCATTTCTGCAGGAAATTATAATGCAAATGGGCAAGCTTTCATTCTGGGACAGAGTTTGACCACTCTAGTATAAAAGAAAACGATGATTTGATAGGACAAAGTATATTAATTACTTTGCAATTGCTGTGATAAAACACTGTGATGAAAGCAACTTGTAGGAGAAAGACTATCTGGGCTTAGGGTTCCAGAGGGTTGGAGTCCATAAATGGGGGAGCAAAAGCATAGTGGTAGGGGCAGGAAGCTGGAACCTCTCATCTTGAACCACAAGCATAAAGCAGGGGGAGCAGTTAGAAATGGTTGGAGGCTTTTAAATTCTCAAAGCCTGCCCTGGCCGCATACTTTCTCCAACAAGGCCACCTCCTAACCATACCTAAACAGTATTTTTAGTATACCACCAAATAGGGATCAAGTATTCAAATGCCAGAGACTATGGAGGACATTCTCAGTTAACCCACCACACAGGGTAGAGTTACTATACGGCTGCAGAAGCACAGGAGTCATTCAACTTCAGATGCACCCGGGTTCTAGACTTACAGAAATCCGCGAGGGCACCCGGGTTC